GAAAACAACCTGGAGCAGGGGAATGATGGGCAAAACTACACAGGTAGGTTGGGTCAGATGAGTTGGAGTTGAGTTCTAGTTCCATGTCAGGTCTTGGGAATATGGGAGTGAAACACATTGAAAGCTTCTGAGCAGGTAACGTTGTAAAAGGCATGTTTAAGAAAAGCAGGGGCCAGCCCCCAGTGAGGAATTGGGTAATTCAATTTTTCAACACTAGGTGACACTGTTTTCTTTAGAAACCAATCTTTCTGGCTAGGACTATGGGACAGAGGAAACCAAGCCCTGGCAAATAATTACAGTCAAGAAGGATATCAAGAAGGAGGTACTTAGGGCCGGCTGGTAACTAGCACAAGCTACAGCAAGGAGGAGGCCCAGAGCAGAGGAGCTGAAGAGAGCCCAATGTCACCAACCAGATAGGAAACTGAGGCCCTCAAGAAGCTAAGTGCCCAAGACTCAAAGCCAGGTGTGGCAGAATTGTAGTTGAGTGAGTGCTGAATGGCTCCATGGCCAGGTGGTTAAGAAAGAAGGATCCTGCATGGTCAACTGCATGGTTTGAGTCCCAGCCCCCATGGTTTGAAAAACACACATATGTGTGTGTGCATACCCAAAGTCCCAAAAGGAGGACAAGATGGAGGAGCAGGGACTGTGGTGTGACCGTGTTCCATTGAAGGGTGCTTTCTCTCTCTCTGTCTCTTTCTGACAAATATAAAATAATAGGGACCAGCAGTTAGCGTAATGGCTATGTCACTGGACTCCCATGTAGTCAACCGCGGTTTAAGTCCCGGACCCGATGGCTTAAAGAAACTCACGCCGGGTGCGTGTGCGTGCGTGCCCAAGATCCCGAGAGGAGAATGGAGAAGGGATTGTGGCATGGCCCTCCCTCCTGGGGGGTGATTTCTCGCTTTCTGTCTCTCTGTTTCTCTCTGTCTGTCTGGTGAGCGCACGCACTCTATAGCAAAAACCTCTCAAAAAATACATATAAAATAATAAAAGATAAATAAAATGTTAAAGAACCAACAAGGCACACTGCACAGGTGGCAACCTGGCTTCAGCAGTCAGAGCTCACAAGTCTACTTGGACATTTTCTCTCACAAAGCTAGTTTTAGGGAGGTGAGGAGAGTCCCCCCGGACAAGTGGGTCTCCCAAGAGTGGGTGGTTGCCTTTAAGTTTTTATTCCAGTTTTTAAAACACTTCCTTCCAGTCAACATCTAGAAGATATTTATGTAGAAACAAACCAAGAACAAAAAAGTTTGCTTCGGGTGACCAAGGCTGACAACGACTCCCCAGCCTTTGTCTTGTCTAAGGATAAGCCGGGGCTATGTTGCCAAGGCCTGGCTGACAACTTTGTCTTCTGACACTTCAAAGGGCACAGGGCACCTAGGCACGACCCGGGTGTGCCTTATGAACGGAGGCAGGCATTGAGTGAGTCTTTGCAGCTCATAAACCTTTTAACACCCATGGCAGACACAACCTGGATGTTCCTAAGAAAGTGCAAGTAAATGGACTCCCATTTCAACATGTGAGAGAGCGTGTGACTTAAATAAACCATGCTTTGGGGAAGCCAGGACTCTTGCTGTAAAGATAATGGCTGCCCACTGCTGTCCTGGCTCCAGAGCCGGCTTTTCCTTTCCAAGTAATGATCAGCACAAAAACGTTTCCTAAAACAGTCACAGCAACAAGAACAGAGAGGGGCTGCATTGCTCAAAACATTTTGCAACTGTCTTCAGAGCTTGCAGCAATCCTGTTTCAAGATCCTCAGTAGGGACTCTGGTCAAACGTCTGTGAGAGTGAAATAAGATTTGGTAAGAGTCAGAGGAACTGCAAACAGAGTCTGGCCAGGCTGAAGAACACAGCATTCAGGGACTCAAATGTTGGACACCCAGCTCCTATGGCCCATCCCAGGGCATTGTTGGACCACAAGGGTGGGGAAAAAGGCCACGAGGCCCCCAGTCAGCTTTTTCATAGGCCTGGGCTCTGTTGGCATCTGGGGGAAGAAGCCTTGGGACCCCATCAGAAGACTAGAGGCCAACTGTCATAGCCACGTTCTCTGAGCAGTGGCGAGGTGGGAGCTACAAAGGGAGCTTTCAGAGACCCTGATCGTGACTGTCTCAACAATTTCATTCTTTCTGTGAACAATTGGCAGATAGGATGTGGGGGGAAAGGCAGGCCACACAGACTCAAGATATGGCCTTCTGTGCTGACTGCTTTGAGGGACGTAGACAAATTATTAGCTATAATCTATGTACCCCTTCTCTGTTTTAGAGTCTCTCAGCGATTTCTAGTCACAGACATTCCCATAACCACTGGGTGCTTGGCAACCATTAAGGGGGATGTAAGACTGTAAAGAAAATATAATAACCACCCCTGGTCCTGGTCAGCCCCAACTCCAGCTCCTAAGCCCACCTCAAAGCCCCCCGCATGGGAAAGGCCCACTCACAGTTGCTTCCCAGGGTTCAGCGAGCCCATGTCGATCTCATGGTCAAATTCGGTGCGAATGTCATTGAGCACGCCGTCATCCCCAAAGGCCCCCCACTCCATGTTGATGCACATCCGCCCCTCGTCACCCTCCACCATGTCGATGTGGCGCATCTCCTCCATGTAGCAGGCATTGCTGCCCGTGCCTGGCCAAAGCAAGGGGCCTCTCAGCACCGCCCGGTTCCCTTCCCACCTCCCGTCTCCTGATGCTGCTCTCCCAGAACAGCCCAGAATAGCTGAGACTCCCGTGCAGACTCCTGGGGTATCCCAGCATGTGGTCCAATCCCCTATCACCTCCAGTTCCCACAACACCAGGCTCACAGTCCTCCAAAGTGACCGTACCATTATCTTCAAAGTATAAGGAAACACCCCCTCCAGCCCACACCCCTATCTGCTGGCCAGCATGGGTCCACAGACCTGGCTGGTGTCCACTTACCCACAATGAGGCCAATCTCGCAGTTCTGGTCATCATAACCGCAGGTCATCATGGTCCCAACTGTGTCGTTCACCACAGCCACAATGTCAATATCGAAGTCCTGGGAGAAAAGGGGGCGCTGACTATCACCACCACAGAAGGGCTACAGATATGAACAGCAAGGCACAGCTCACGTGTGACAAGGCTGCCCCCTCCTCAACCTGACTCAGAGCCACAGTAGGTCATGGCTGGGTCCAGATGCAGCACCTCGCTTCCCACCCACCTGTCCTCATCATGGAGGACAACATGCCTGACAGCCCTGCTACCTACTGTACAACTCCACTGTGCTAAGAAGGGCCCATCTGGTCTTCTCCTTTTTCCTCTCATCCTCCCCCTTTTCTGTCTCCCCCTTCTCCCTTTAATTCCTCCTGTGGTAAGACTTTCATCTCGTCCTTGCTCTGCCTCATCCCACCCCAACTCTCCTATTTGAAAAGTAAAAGTTGAATTTTCTTGCACCAAAGTGAAGATAGTTATCTACTGTGCCAATCCAAAACTCCAAAGGCATCTGATCACATACAAGATTACTGGGTAAGACTAGCCAGAAAGAAGAAAAGAAAACCTCTCCTATATACCACAGAAGTTTCCCATGCTGAATCTGAGGACAGACGGAGACTTCAGAGATGACCCAAAGCGCCTGCAGACCCAAGCTCATGCCCCCTACTCACCCCTCTCCGCTGAATGGCCTTGCGGATCAGAGCCACCACATCTCTGCCTTCCACGCCACTGGACTTGAACCCCTTGGTCCAGGAGACCAGGAAACTCTGGAAAAGGCATAAGGAATGAATGATGATTCCCCACAACTGGAAGATTTCACTCCTCAAGCAGAAACCTCCACCTCTAGACTACAGTTGGTATGTAGCTCCCTGACTAGTCTAGGAAGGAGACGCTCAGGCCCCAGCAAAGTCAAGAAAAGGAGAATAAATGAACACTTCCTTCAGGATTCACTGCCCCCGAGAAGCGGACAGTGCAGGCTAGAGAACTTCCAGAACAAGAAACTTGCTTTGCACATCATTAACTCCCAAGGCACCTTCCCTCCAAGGGTCTTTATACTTACACTTTAGATCTGAGGAGTCTCTAATTTCACATGCACACCCACCTTCCACTTCTCCGATACCTCTCACCATCCCCACACACCCACACACACTCTCACACATAGTCACCCAGAAGGACAGAACTTAATCTTCAAACCTCATCTGCCCCATCCTTCAGGGCTGCCACCAACTTGTCTGCAGTGGCAGATAGCTCAGACAGTCTCGCAGCCCAAAGGGTAAAGCAATGGAAGTGTCTGAAGAAGCCCTCTTACCTCGTCTAATTTAGTCTGGTGGCAGGGGAACGAGAAGGTAAAACCCAATGGAAGCTTCTTGTTTTTGATCTGTAACTTATCCATGAAGTTGGCCAGGCATTCAGCAATGTGGTCAAACAGCTAGAGACACAGGAAGGTGAGCAGGAAGACAGAAGAGCAGAGATTAAGGGCATGGACTTTGGGTTTGGGAAGGCACTAGCTGAATGCATGCAAAATGCCTATCTTCTCTGAAATCACTTCCACAAAATTAGAATAACCCTCAGAGTTACCAAAAAGACTAAATGAGTCACTATATACAAGCATTTAACATTAGTTAGTGTTCATTAAAGGCCATCTTCCACTCGAACCATTCATCTGA